ATTCTGTAGTTGCTCCTTGCAATCTACTTGAAGACGGAGAACGGTTGATTCAGCGAAAGAAAAACTCAAAGGCAAGTTTTTGAAAAACATAGAACATGGTTTGTTTACGCGCGGGCAGATGGCAGCATACATGACCTCGTACCGATGACTCAACCGAAGGCAAATGGAAAATAATGTCTTAGCAACCACCCGCGTGCATCCATAACTCCATGGTTGCTCGCTGCACGTTTACCATTTCTTAATTTTCATATTTTGATGGCATGTCGATCAAAATGTATCTTACCCTACCAAGTAACGTAATATGCTATCTTACTCATTTGAACTCTTTTATACCTGGAAAATTTGCTCAAAGGAAGCCTGAGGTCACGCAGTGTATAAATGTGCGTCTACTCTTTGGTCTAGTTCATTTCAAGTCATCAGTGTCTTCGTGATCAGTACCGAATCAGCATATCACTATCACAACTAACGTACCCATAATGTATGTAAGATTGTCTTACCTTTAGTAACAAGACCTTGCCGTTTTAATCAAATAACACGAGGGAAAACAAGATGAAACCAAGAGCTGAAAGATTCACAAATGAAATGATGCCACGGCCGCCATCTTGATTTCACATTGTGAGAGAAATCTGGGGAGAGTTCAAAAACCCATGGGGACTGACATGGGGACTGGGGACGCAAGCTCGGTTAGCAGTTTTTCTTTGGGGACAAAGGCATGCCTTATCACTCCGACTGCAATATTTATTTATTCAATGAGATCAAAGCTACAGTTCTTCCAATTTGGTTTGCAGACTTTATATGAGGAATAAACTGAACCACTAAATACTTTGAGCTACAGTGTATTTAGCCTCCTCCGCAGACGTTCTTAGGGGTTCGCCACGCGTTCCTGTCCCACTAACTAGCGCTGATTGGCTCTGCGATAATTCTCCAACTGATATTTGAGAACAATGGGAAAGGAATATGTCTTTCGGTTCAACAGTCGTTAGTGTAACCTGCGATAAATAGTCTAAACTGTTGCTAACTACCATTTACATAAGAAAATATTTGGAAGGAGACTCACTTGGAAAAATCCAAGTTCTTAGTGGCGGTGTTTTACTGTATTAACTGCCGCAAACAAATCTAGCTTACATAGACTTGGATTCTCAAAAATGAAGCACACGAAGTAAAATCTAGCGTTAAGTAAGAGAAGCTAGATCTGAATGGTGATTCGAGGAGCTTGGCTGGACTTCCGGATAATCTATCTTCCCAAGAGAGGATAAAGCTTGCATTTATACTCTGTAGATGGATTATTTTTCATAAATGTTTGCTAGTTTTTCTATAGTTTTTTTTTGTCTGCAAAGATTTTTTTAAACTCATTTAAGTGACTTATTTTACATCATTATCTTTTCCAATGTCCAAATTTGATCCCAATTTTTTTTTCGCGACTAAATGGTAAATAGAACTATAAGCCCCTCAATATATTGGTTAAATAGCAGGGGTTTTTTTAATAACAAAAAGTGGACAATCATAGATAACTGGTAAAAGTCGTTTGACTATAATCATCGTTGTTTTCAAAGGTCAACCGTAGATTGATGAAAGAAAAAAGTGGCGAAAGGTTGTGATAACATGGTAAACTTAAGCTTCTGTCTGATCCAGCACCAGAACAGTCCAATTTGACTTGTCCAATAAGAAGTTATTGGAATTCTAGCCTGCGGATCAAGCCTTCCAGCCGAGTTCGCCGAGAAAGTTGTCAAAGTTGGTGTAACTTCCCTCCCCCTTCCATTTTTTTTTTTTGCTCCTTCTCCAACTTTTGGGCAATAACTCAATTGGAAACGCTTACTACGCAGTCTATTGGATTTCAAAAAGGTCAAATCCCGAGGGAAGGTATATACTGAAGAAAATGTTTTCACCGGGAGGCTCCGCCCTGCAGAAAAGGTACCCATTTCGATTACTTTCTATTGACAATTGTTATCCCTTTTACATACCTTTTAGTTTAGAACCCTGCACCCCACTAAACTGTAATAAATACACTGTTTTTTTAATATCAATAAACCCGCGCGAAATCGACGTGAGTTGATTTCCACTACCGTGTGTGGCAAGTTTTTTTACCAAGCAAACACGCTAAGGAATCATAAGAGAGTTCACACGGAGGAAAAGCCTTTTGAATGTAAACAGTGTGTCAAAGTGTGGGAGATTTTTAAGCCAAACAGTTCACCTAAGGATTCATAAACGAGTTCACACTGGTGTGAAACCTTATGAATGTAAACAGTGTGGTAAGCGTTTTAGCCAATCATGGAACCTGAGGACACATAAACGAGTTCACACTGGTGAGAAACCTTACGAATGTAAACACTGTGGGAAGTCTTTTAACGAAGCAAGTAGCCTGAGGAAGCATGAAAGAATCCACACTCTATTAAAGTCGCGTAAATTTTCCCAGAAAAACGAGATTCTGTCTAAACGTTTGGAATCATGTAAGCTGAAGAGAGCTGGGGGTAAAAACGTTGATCTTAGGGCCACAGACCTTACAAACAACCTGGCAACACACAGAGAGACTGGAAACAGTGGTGTCGCAGACCCGCAATCAGTCATTAATGAGAAACACAGCTGTTGGATTTGTCAAGAGGAAATGAGTAGTGAGGCTCTTCTTCTTCAACACTATGAACATCATATGACCTATGTTTGTGAAGACGATTATTAAAGTTAAAATGCGTTGCAGTTCTTGTAAGTTCTTTTCGGTTCTTTGGCAAAATTTTTCTAGTTTCAACTTGAAAAGTGTGTTTTTTTTTAAAGTTTGTTACTTTTATACCTGCGATTCATTCCATGCGTACAATTATCAGGAACTACAAGTATGAACGATGAAAGAACAGCTTCTGTGTCTTAAACAAACTAAAACCCAGGTTTTAGCCCCACTTACAGCGGGTTATAAGTGGTTTGTCTTCTACATACCATTTACGGTAATTAATATAACAACTGAAATGTTTCTGAACCCACAGCTGTAAGAACATAATAAAAACAAGACTATAGCATATGGACCAAAGAGAAAAAAGGATTCCTTAAAAAAATCTCATTCCATGATTCGTAAAGCAAGAAGTGATAAATGCGTGCCTTTGGAGAACTTTCGTCGGTACTTACCGTATTTATTCGATGAACCGCCCTGGGCGCTTATTATTTTTGGACCTTGAGAGTGGCCTCGTATTCGTGGTGGGCGCTTATTAAATTTTCACCATTTTCAGCAATCGTAGTATGTTTATTTTACAACAAAACAATAAATGGTAATAACAAAACGCGGAGAAGTAACAAAGCAAGGTTTCTGTAAAATACTCTAAGAAAACTCCGTCATCGGGGAAGTCTCTTATCAGAATTTATTCACTAAAGTGGGTGGGTTGGCGGTGAGCGCTTATTTGAGTTTGATTGGGAGGAGAAGGGGGTGGGCGCTAATTAACTTTTTCTGCCTTTAGGACGAGCGCTTATTCGAGGTGGGCGCTAATTTAAGGTTGGGCGCTTATTCGAATAAATACGGAAATTTTTTTGAAAGTTTCTTGGAAAATAGCGCGCGTAAGAAAAAGAAAAACAAATTGCGCCATCATCACGTCATTTCCTTTTGTCCTTCTTTTAAACAGCTCCTGTCTAACAAGTTTCCCGTGAGGTCATCCGTGTGTCTGTAGTCTAATAGATCATGGGCAACGACCAATCACAGCGCGCTTAGCATCCAGTATATTCTATAATTTGTCGACCAAGCAGCGCGCCGCGAGAAAACACTTAGTTATTGTAAAAAGGCCCCTGTGACTTGTCGGGAAAGAAAGGCCGTACACAGCAAATAAACAGGTTAAATGTCCACAATCCTATCCACGAGTACATGCAAGAAGTAATAGGAAACTGAACAGAAACAAAATGAAAACGTTCCGTTTCTTTGTCAACCTCGAGGTTTTGGCGAAAATAGTTAAAACGAGACCACAACAAAACACATCGTATAGCAGTCAGGAATTTTCTCAACGTTCTCAACAGGTGTCTGTTAAGTCGTACACTTTACAATAAAATACCCCATACTAAAGTCACTTGATGGTATTACTTTATGGCCGATTTAATAACTTCTAAAAATCCAAGACAAGAAAGCCAATTGATAAGTGTATCCCTTTAGGCAAGAATAGCTACTGAGAACGCGCATAATTGCATAACTGAATTGCTCTAAAAATTAGAGGACTACACCTGCAGAAATCTCGAAAGGGACAGGAAGGCCCCATAATACCCCGCCATGGGACAGAGTAATGAAGGGCATTAGACAGCCCCTTTGAGGTAGCCTGTACACAGCCTGTACTCTGTTAGCTTTCGACTATGTTTATGATAGATTTTGCAAGTGTAAAATATTTAAATGTAAAATATGTAGCGAGGACGCGAGCGAATGGAGCGCGGAGCACTCACCCCGTGCGCTCGCGGTCAATAAATCCCGTGTGGCGCTCTGCGACCTCTAAAGAGGAATAGAGGGTGTGTGATCTGGCTATTTCGAGGAGGCCAAGCTAAGGGGAACCAGGGGGACTTTGAAACTCAATAAGGTGGATTAAATTCAGGTTTACACTTCATTTTTAAGTTACTAGTACTTCACCTTCACCTCAGGCTCTCCACAGAGTGCGCGTGCTGCTGTTTCGTGACCTTTTCCCAACTCCCCCAAACGGACAGCTTGCTTATAAGCAATATGAAAGGGGAGGAATTTCACTGGTTGAAATAAAATGAAAGGGCAAAGAAATCTATATCTATCGTTTCGGACCTTAAAAAGGCCTTAAAGGACTTAGAGATGCATTTTATCGCTCTGAATACAGGTTGATTTCCACTGACGCGTTTTCGGCTACGCACTTTAACGCACGTGAATATCAATCACGTAAATAATGTAGAGGCAAGATATAAAGTGCTGAGATAAAACGTGAAGTTGAGCGACAACTTTTACGCTTACGAGCGACTGTTGATGCTTTGTCTCTATTTTATTTGCAAAGGTAAATTTTACACAAGTAAGATTTCTCACCAGTGTGAACTCTTTTATGAATCCTTAAGTGGACTGTTTGGCTAAAACATTTGCCGCACTGTTTACATTCAAAAGGCTTTTCCCCAGTATGAACTCTCTTATGACGAGTTAAGTGTCCTGCTACACTGAAGCACTTGCCACACTCTTTACATTCGAAAGGCTTTTCCCCAGTGTGAACTCTTTCATGAGTCCTTAGGTTTCCTGCTTGACTAAAACACTTGCCACACTGTTTACATTGAAAAGGCTTTTCCCCAGTGTGAAGTCTTTCATGACTCCTTAGTTTTCCTCCTGTGCTAAAGCACTTGCCACACTGTTTACATTCAAAAGGTTTCTCACCACTGTGAACTCGATTATGACTCCTTAGGTTTCCTGCTTGACTAAAACGCTTGCCACACTGTTTACATTCAAAAGGCTTTTCCCCAGTGTGAAGTCTTCCATGACTCCTTAGTTTTCCTGCTGTGCTAAAGCACTTGCCACACTGTTTACATTCAAAAGGTTTCTCACCACTGTGAACTCGATTATGACTACTTAGGTCTCCACCTGTGCTAAATGTCTTGCCACACTGTTTACATTCAAAAGGTTTTTCCCCAGTGTGAACTCTCCTGTGACGACTTAAGTGTCCTGCTAGGCTAAAGCACTTGCCACACTCTTTACATTCAAAAGGCTTTTCCCCAGTGTGAACTCTTTCATGACGCCTTAGTTCTCCTGCTGTGCTAAAGCACTTGTCACACTGTTTACATTCATAAGGTTTCTCACCACTGTGAACTCAATAATGAATCTTTAAGTGAACTGTTTGGCTAAAACATTTGCCACACTGCTTACATTCAAAAGGCTTTTCCCCAGTATGAACTCTCTTATGACGACTTAAGTGTCCTGCTACACTAAAACACTTGCCACACTGTTTACATTCAAAAGGCTTTTCCCCAGTGTGAACTCTTTCATGACTCCTTAGGTTTCCTGCTTGACTAAAACGCTTGCCACACTGTTTACATTCAAAAGGCTTTTCCCCATTGTGGACTCTTTCATGAGTCCTTAGCTGTCTTGCTTGGCTAAAATACTTGCCACACTGCTGGCACTCAAAGGACATTGGGCTTGTTCCTCTTTTAATGTGTTATGGTTAGGGTACCTTTTAACAGGAAGGACAAACATTATTAGGTAAATGTAACATTCTTTGTATTTTTTTGGGCAATACATTGAACAAACTTTGTGGCCAGCTAGTGAAAGCAAGGTCTGTAACAAATAGTTTAAAAGTTGAGAGGGATATTTGGAAAATAAATTAGAAATAATTATTATTGTAAAGAACAACCGCTAAAGAAAAAAGGTGGTTTCTGACCATGCACCATCTGACTACACACCTAAAAACAGGAGTCAGTTAATGTAACGTTGACTTTGTATTCAGATCAGAGAGTCCCCTGTGTTTTGTAAAATAACACACACTTAGCAGGAAGGAAGAATAGGACTAGTGTCACAGTTCTGACTTCCTGTTTGTACCAGGAAACAACCAACCAACCAGGAGATGGAATTGATTTTTTTATAACAAATTGAAATGTACAGGTAAGTAGCAATGTTCACACACATAAAGTGGGATGTTGTGCAACTGTAAATAAAAAAAAAATCTGAACTTCCAGCAAAACAAACGGTACTGAGTGACTCCACATAAAGTATAATAGTCATGATCAATAAATACAGACAAGCACTTTTTAATTTTAAAAAAGGGGGGCTGGAGAGGGTAGCATGATAACTTCCTCTAGTTATGGTATTTGGGCACCTCTACAGAGGACAGAGAGTCTGGCTTGGTCATACCCTAAGGCATGGGAAGAGAGACCACCTAGAAGACCTGGAGTGGGAATGCTGGATAGAGTAGCGGATGGCAGACCTTATGCAGTACATTAAGGAGTAGGTTTTTTAAAAATTACACGTTTTGACCCTGTGCAAATTTGTGATTTGCTGTCACACAAAAAATGCTATTCAGCGAATGCACTGTTGTCTTCTCTGGCCACTGTAATTTGTTAAATTCAAGACAATTTTGATTCATAAATCAAGAAGAAACTGGCGTGAAAAGCTACAAAGAACAAATTAAGCTAACATTATTTCATGATTGTAAGCCGAGTTGAATTTTTTATAAAGACATTGTTGATATCTCGTCAGGGGCCGGCCATAAAGTACAGGGGGGGGGGGGGGGGGGGG